GGGTGGGGGGGGGAGTTGCTTTAGCCAGGCTTTTCCCTGCTTCCAGGCAGATCTACCATGTTGGGGAGGGGCTTAAGCCCCCTCACCGGCCTGCAAGGGACTCCAGGCTGGGTCTGCCAAGGTGAGGGGGGCAGCCCCTTCCAGACTGAGGAAGGAGTGGTTGGGGAAACAGGGTAATGGCATTGAATTCGTCAAAGCTTGAACAAGAATAGTCCTTCCCTGTGGGCTATGAAGGAGATTTAAACCCCACTTCCTCCCGTCTGCCTTAGCCTGCTGGCCTGCCTGACATCTGGCCATGCCCCCACTCCCTCCACTCAAGTGAGGAAAAGCCTGGCAGGGGCAGGCAGACTAGGCTGTGGTCCCCAGCCGGGTTTCCTAGCCCCACCCCCACCCCTTTGCTCTGGCTGGGGAGCAGAGGGGCGGGGCCAGCCCAGATCCACTGGAGCAGACAGCCCAGCCTAGCCCAGGGCTGCAAAGCACCCTGGGATTCTGGGGGACTGTGAGTTAACTTGAACCAGGAAGGAGTCTGGGACAGAAGTTCCATAAACCGGTTTGACCTAAATCAGTTAAGTCTGATACTACATTCAGCCAGGTTCATCTTAAACCAGTTTTGGCCATTTTGAAACTGGTTTATGTGTACTGAACTTCTGTTCTGTTATAGATTTAAACCAGTTTCTGATCACAAACCAGTTTATATGTAACTTCTGTCCTTAGCCCAAAAGTATTATATGCCTTCATCATGGTCTGTGAACAACCCAGAATTGTTATTTATTCTCATGGCACTTCTGTAAGGTTAGAGAAAATTTGTTCTTATTTTACAAATGGAAAACTGATGCACCAAATAGGTGAAGTAACTTTCTAAAGGTCAGGCATTGGTGAGACCTCTGCTGGAGTAGTGTGTTTAGTTTTGCATCCCACACTTCAAGAAGGATTTGAATTATCTGGAAAGACTCCAGTTCTGAACAACGAAAATGCTTAAGTGCCTAGAAGGCTATACTGAAGAGGAAAGGCTGAAAGAGCTAGGGTTATTTAGCCTGGAGAAGAGAACACTGAGGGGAAGCAGAGGGGGATTTGATAACAGTCTTCAAATACCTGAAGGGTGATTACAGAGAGGCTGGAGATGGGCTGTTCTCTGTGGCCATAGGGGACTGGATTAGACACAATGGCCTCAAGCTGCAGCAGGGGAAGTTTTAAGTTGGAGATGAGGAACTTTCTGATTATGAGGGTGGTCAAGCATTGGAACAGGCTACTCAGAGAAATTGTGGAATCTCTGTCCTTGGAAGTTTTCAGGTGCAGGTTGGACAGGCACTTAGCTAAGATGGTTTAGTTGGGAATGATCTTATCTTGAACTGGAGGCTTGACTAGATGACCTTTTTAGGCCCCATCCAGCCCCGCTTCCCTATGATACTATGTAGGAAGCCTGTGGGCAAGCTGGTGATAGAATCCAGTCATCTGAAGTACCCTGTAGTACCTTAGCATGGTACCTTACTATTGCAGGACTGTTGCTGCTCCAGTAGAGCCTGACGGACTCCAACCCAAAGCCAGAGCTGCAAAAAATGTTGAGGTCTCTATGCAGGTTCTTTGGAATCTGTCCAATCTCAGGCTCTTTGCCTTTTGCACTGGATTTGGTAAACATCATTTTCTGGAGGGATGAAAACGTGAAGGGGTCTTGGTTAGATCTCCATCTATGGATGCTTGGTGATCAGGGCCAAAGCTTACCCTTTAACTTATATTTAAGAGAGACTAACTTTTTTTGCAGTTTGGTTTATATTTTGCCCTCAGACATCCTGTCTCTATTTGTTAACTTGTTTTTTGTTTTCGGTTTAGGCCACCATAAATCAGTTGAGAGCTGAGCTTGCCAAAGGTCCTCAGGAGGTTGCTGTGTACGTGCAGGAACTACAAAAACTACAAAGCTCGGTTAATGAACTAGAACAGAAAAAACAGGTGAGAATTTTATTACTGTATCTGTATATTCTACGTGTATGCAGAAATGGAACAACTTGTTACAGTGAAGGGAGTACTAATAATCCACTGCATGTCTGAAGGTTTTTTCTTTTAAATTTAAAACCTAAGCTTTCCTTAGGTCTATTACAAGTACAGTATAAGTTCATTTGTGCTAATACTTTCAGCTTGTATTAATACGACATAATATATTTATACTGTATTGCCTGTCAAAGTATTGAGAAGTCATTAATCATGCCCCAAAATATGAATCCAGCTTAAAAACTGCAATTAACTACATTATGGAGTCATTTTTATTTCCTTTCTGGTTTATAGACTATAATTGAGTCATTATCAGGGTTTTCTTCACAACTGTGACAGCTAGAAAATGTTTATTATGCTCATAAAAACAGCCCTCTTCCCTTGCCCCTGCTGCAGGATCTAGTGTTTTAAAGAGCTTTTAAAAATCATGAATTGCACATGGAAAAATAGTAAAATAAGATTAAAAGATAGAATGTTGCTATATTTTTGGCTATTTCCCCTCTTGTAGATGTAATAAAATATATGTACACAGTAATGCATGTTGTAATGATATATAACACTATCTGCATGTTTTGTAGTTGTATGTCACAGCGCTTTCAGCATACATAAAGCTAATATGGTAGTATTAGGGTCATCAGAGCTGGAGGGAGAGCATGTTCTTGCAGTATGCAGGTACCCACTGGGACAAGTACAACAATGCAAGATCTGTTACAGCTTGCATCTGCTCGGTTACAGCATTGTGTGAGGGGTTTGTGCTGCTCAGGACACATCCAGCTTGCTTTCTTCTTAGAACAGCAAGGAGACTCCCAGTGTAGTAAACCAACCTGTTGTCCCTTATTCTGTGGTCAGGACAACATCAAAACTGAACCTTTTTTATTAATCGTGTATACTTGACTGGGGGTAAGGATCTAGGAAGATGTAAAATTAAGAACCTAAATTAATAGTTGTTTGATATCAGAATTGTGGATTGGGATAGCTAGAGCTCAGCTTCTGGTTCCTTTCAGCCTTAGGGTACATACAGATGTCAGGGAGGTTAGATTGCAACAAAAATGGCCACCCGATCTGACTTAGTTTGCCCAGGTGTGGGCATGTTTACATCTCTAGTTAGGTCAATCTAAATGGTCACGTCCTGTAATAAAGCCATATTATGGCTTTATTTTAATCTCATTTGGGTTTATTTGCAACTTTCTGTATCTCTGAATAGACTTAAATAGTGATCCTGTTGTTAGTCAACCTGCCAGATTAATTTCTTGCCTTCAAATATGGAATTTCCTATCCCTAATTACAAGCAATGGTTTCAGGATGTAATATATTTAAATTTCATGACCCTGCAGACCAAAAATAGGAATATTATAACCTAGAAAAATGGCTTGTCAATTGGTATCAGAATGTTATTCTTTGGAAGGTGTAGAGATGTCCAATTAAATTTATCAAAAGAAAAAAAATATTTAAGATCATTTTCTGCAGGTTTGGTGGCTTCCTCTGAGGTTTCTCTGTATAGTTGTAGTCAGAGTAACTAAGTCATTAGATTTTCAGGTGGGAGTTTAAAATGCAAAAGTCTAAATAAAACTTTAAAAAACCCCCAGTTTCTCTGTAACCTGGAAGTGGCATTTGCAAAAACTTGATATGATATGGCAATTTTTTTTCCTCAGGGTTGTATCAGAGTTATGTAAATTGCTTGTGGCATCTTCACTTGTGAGTAATGTGCCCATCTTGAGCTCCCTGCTGATTAAACCTTGCATGCCACACAAAAACACTGGGTATGCTATCATACTTTATTTTATTCATAGTCTTATGCCTTGATATATAAGCACCAATTATAAATGTATCAATATAATCATGAATTTTTAGTTTGTGCAGTGTAAGTAACATTTCAATATGTCATTAAACATGTCTGTTTTTAAAAAGGACTTACAGATTTTCATAAGCTGCATCCTATGTGAGGGAAATAACTTTTCGGAGGTGAAGCAGTTTATTTTTTTGATCACAGTCCTAGTCACAAATTACTTGAAATGTGCCTATACATTATTATATTTAATACACTTTTTTTTCTTCCTGAAATCACATTTTCAATGTTAGGTATTTTTGCCCCTTACTTTTTTTTTTTTCCCCACACCAATTCTGGATTTCTCAAAACATGTGGCCAAAATCTCCTATCGTGTCTTGTTTCTTTTATGTGCCAAAACAGAACTGGGACAAACTAACATGAAAGCTGTTCAGGTAAAATTATTTCTAGCAAATCTTCCAAGGGAAGAATCAACTACTCTCTGTATGTGCAATTTTTCTTTTATTGGGTTGATACATAGAATACTAAATGGAGTGCATACCCAACTCTCCCGTACTTAAATGCTGAGCTGTGCCTATTGATTTGTGTTACCAGATACTTTTCTTTTGGCTTTCATACTCCCATCATGTCTGTGTGAGAGAGATGGAGAAAAAAAATGAGACCAAAAATGGAATTAATTTATGATGCAACATTGTCATAAAAGGATGATCCTTTACACACAGTGTTGCTGGCACAATATTATACTTATAATCCATGTATAGGAATAGTAGTATTAGTTATATAGGAACTAGGGCTGTGTGAAGCTTCGGTAGCCGATTTGATTCGGAGGAGAATCAGCCTGATTTGGGGGGCTGAATCTCCGAATCGAATTGGGAGGCCCATTAAAAGGTCTGAATCAAATTAAAGAAAACGCCCCACACTCACCGGCTGCAACAGCAGTGATTGGGGCCCCTGGGAGCCCATGACAGAGCCTCCCCATGCAGTGCAGGGCAGTGGGGATTGGCCTTCCCCTCCCCCTGCCTGGCACCCACGCGGCAGCTGTTGCGTCACATGGGTGCAGCACGGCTTGGCAGGGCTCTGTGGGGCTTCGTGTCCTGTCTGGGGCTGCTCAGGCTGAGTGCTGCAGGGCTCCAGGTGACTGCTGGAGCTGCTGCAGCTCCGAGACAGTGCATGGTGCCCTGCCAAGCCACGCTGCACCTGTGCAATGCGACAGCTGCCAGCTGTGGGAGAGGGGGGCAATTCCCACTGCCCTGCCCTGCCCTGTGCTGTGCTGCGAGGGGGGGCTCTGGCATGAGTTTCCAGGGGTCCTGATTGCCGCTGCTGCAGCCGGTGAGTGCAGAGCCTTTTTTTTTAAAGTGCTGGGACACTGGGGATGGGCGGGGCAGCCATGAGTGGGGAGAGCTGGGGGAGCGGGCAGGGGGTGGGGCCCTGCTCACTGCCAACACTGCTGCCGCCGCCTGTTTGATTCAGAAGAGATTCGGTGGCCAAATCTCTGAATCCGAATTGGATGAATCAGATCAGTACAGTGATTCGAATCAGCAAATCAAATCACTGTCCCTCTGAATTGTTTGAATCCGAAGCCAAATTGACTACTTGCTGCTTTGCACAGGCCTAATAGGAACCTACGAAATAAAGTAACTTCATGGAGGAAGGAAAGAGACTGAGATCACACTACCAATTTAATGTAATTTAATGTTGAAGTAGCATTTGCCAAGAAATATAATAAGATGCAATTTAAAATTATTCAAATTACACTTTCCTTTTAATAGAATGATTTCTTACTGGCTCAGAATTGGAGACCTATAAGAGACCATGAGAGTTCACAATTGTACCTCTTCCCAAAATTAGAAATGTTAAATCAAGCATACAAATTATGTTCAGACTGATCTAGAGTACTTGTCACAATTTGTGTTATTCCCTACCACTTAAAGTACCAAAGGTTGATGACTATGAAATGAAAAAAACCTTTCTCAATTTCTGATTTCTTCTCCACTCCACTTTATGGAGGGAGTTCTCACTTGTACCAAGCTGGTGCATACTTGAGGAAATGATAGAGGAAAGGTAACTCTAAGTCAGCTTTGAAGCATCTCAATCCAAGGATCCAGGAAAATGTTCTGACCAAAACTTTGCTTCAGTTCAGCTTCAAAAGAGGACTCTTGGGACTGGTACATGCTCACTGTCATGGTCCCCCCCCTCCTAGGAAACCCTGGTTTTTCAATTTATTGTTTGTCAGAGAAAAGAACTATTCTTGTTTAAGCTTTTATAAATTCAGTGCCACTAGCTTCCCCCACACCCAGGCAGAGCATGGGCTGGGGCATGTCCACTCCGGCTCTGCTCCAGTGGGTGGATGGGGTGGGGATGGGGGGGGAAGACTTGGAGGGCTCTCTGTCTTTTGGCAGTAGCTGGCAGGCATGCTCTAGAGTCTTTCTGGTTTGAACCACTGCAGGCATGTGGCTGCATTTCCTGAATCAAAACTAAATGTGTGTTCATTTACTTATTGTTCAGTCTGTGCAGCTTAGACTAACCTGCAAAAGACTGAATCAATTCAGCCTCAGGCTTTTTGACTGTCTGTACGTAGCCTTGGTGTTTTCAGTGCAGTAGTCAAGTATCCTATCCTTAGTTCCAGCCTTCTCTGTGGGATAAGGGCTCCTCAACATGTATACAGTGCCTTGGGGGTATGGAAGATAAATCACATGTATCCTTGATCAGCCTGGTCAGCTGTTAAGGAGTGCTGACTTATCATGTTTCCATTTCAATAGAGAAAGAAGAGACCTTTTAAAAGAAACATGCATTATAACAAGTTAATAATGCTGTGATAAGATGTTGCACAGAGCAGTTTCTCTCATAACACCCTGTTTATACAAGTGCAAATGCACTCATTTAAGTTAGTGTGAAGTGTATCACAGGGAGGGAACAATTTGTTAAAAGGTTATGGAGAGGTTCCCGAAATGTTATATTTTGACTCCCTGATTTCATGAAGCAGCAATTATTTGCGCTACTGTAAATGAAGTCTAATTTAGTAAGGCAGCATTTTGCAAAGGGCAGGACAGGACTGGAAGTTTTAAAAACTACCCAGCAGGTGTGGAGAAGCCTTTTAGTTGTTCTCCAGAGTCTGAGCTAATGTTAAAAATGGTCTCCAGCTGTTGTGGTTGTGAAGAAAATCTTGAAAGCCCTACTCAAGTGCAACTGGTGCTGCAATTTGTGCTCATGTTTGTAGAGTTCCTGAAAGGACTGTAAGGGATGAAAGGCTCCTTTCATTTCACTGGGCGACTTGGACACCAGGAATAATACTTCAGATTCTAGTAGTCATTCTTAACTATTTCACTACTCAGTGAACCTTGGAAGGAAGAAAAGGAAGTCGCATATTGTGTAGATCTACACATTCAGTTCTGAATAGCTGCTCACTGTTGCTGTTCGTTCAACACTACAAATTGCAGCATTCTTCTTTAACAACAGGCATACTTTCCCTTCGCTCTCAATGGTTTAGGAAACAGTCTGGTAAGGAAGTGCCTGCAACTTTGTGGGCCTTTCCCAGTATTGTTTCAAGATTAAATTACCATTTGTTTCCTTTTTGTGTCATTCACCTTTAAGGTGTATCAGTTTTCAGGGTTTCATTACATCCTTGAAACAACTCTCCACTAATTGCTGGCAAAATAGCTTTTAATCCAGGTATGAAGCTGCTAAAATGTTAATATAATTATATAAAAAATGTGAAAATGAAGGTGATTTAATTTTCTGGTAGTACTTTCTCTGCTTAAATATTTTTGATAACAGTGTTGGTCAGAGGGCATTTTTAAAATATTTTTTTAAAATTAAAATGTTGTGATTTGCATGGTTGAAATTATGACCCAAGTGGGAGTTTTGCTGTTGATTTTACTGGGGTCAGGATGCCATCTCTAACCTTCCAAATATGTTGTGTGTGCCGGGTTTACTATTGCGTGTTATATGGGAAGTTATAATGTTATGAACAGAAACTTTCTTGGGTTTTTTTCTTAGAAATGTTGTGGGAAAAGTTACTGCAATTTTATAATTGATATATTAGCTTTAGCCTGGAGCACCCATTTTTAGCCTTGGTGTAAACTGTAGAGTATAGTGTTAGCATTGTCAGTGTTTCCATTATAATTTATGATTTTTTTAATATGAACTATTGCAGTGGATTTGACACATCTTCAGTTCATAAAGTCTTAAACTATGTTGCAAATTATCTTTCTTAATAAAGCTGTTAAACTTTGCTTTATTAAACATAATACCTTGTTATACTTGCATGCTATTGTTTTCTCTTAAACTGATCCAGAGCAAAATCGAAGTACAATTGGTCCCTTAATACTGTGAAGGAAGTATGCTTAAAAATACCCAGCATACCAGCATAGCTAGGATTACATCTCTTTCTCTGTCTTCCCTTGAACCGATGTATTTCAAGAATTACAAAACTGTGATATTTTCAACTGCTAGGTTTACTTGAGAGCTCTGGCATTTTTGCCAGTTGGTTAACTCAGAAGTGAGAGAGAGAGAGAGAGAGAGAGAGAGAGAGAGTGTGGGCGTTTTAAAAAAAAAAAAAAAAGGCTTCTGAAGAACACACTGTCCATTTAAATTGCAGGTACAACATGGATGCACTCAGTTCATGCAGTAGTGCTACATTAGGAAGTTAAGTGAAAAAAATGATTTATTAATTTTCGGCTGTATTGGAATTTTAGGTAGATAGCACGAGTTCTCCAAGTTGAAATTTGACCTGAACATCTATGAAGACGGCTGAGATACCAAGAAAGTACCATTAGATACTTAAGGACAAGACAAGTAATCCTAGGTTCTACATTGGTTTCTGAAAGAGAGTGAACTTTCTTCAGGAGAATGATCTCTTCTGTTGAGGTGTTGATCAGCCCTTACCTGTAGGGACAGGTAGAAGGCAGGCTAGATTTGCATCTTAGACCTAGCCTAAGCTTTCGCAAGCTGGGGTTCACTTCATCAAGTGCTGTGAAAAGGTCGTCACAGAGCAGTATATAGAATGGAGAGCGTGACTTGAATACAAAAGGGTGGGAAGGGAGAGGGAGGGAGAAGTTTTGGGAGAGGTAGGCAAGCAGAGAACCCATAGGAAGAAAGAGATCACAAAAGCTAATGGGATACAAATCCATAGATCCTGTTTAAACTATACTTAACACAGTCCAGTTTGCAGATGATTTCTTGTTTCGCTTTTTCCATTCAGATTAGTTGCAAGGCCCTGTTGCCTCAGTGAGAATAGAAGTCTGGCTTTGTTGATTTGAGAGATGCACACCTTTAAGGATGTGGAGGAGGTATTTCTGTAGTTACAGTACAATGCCAAAACTGTAACCACTGAAGTCAACAAAGCCATACTTAGCCCTTGCACTGACTTGCTACAATACCAACTCTCATCTTGTAATACAGAGCCAATGTTTTGAGTCATGACATGAGTTTCTCATTCTAATTACCATTATTAACACCACAAGTTATAGTTATTTTGGCAGTCTCTTTTTGAGAGGTTCCTAATCTGGATAACGGGAACAGGAGAATGGGCCTCTTGCTTGAAATGTAGTGGCAGAACAAAATAAGGAAACTTGTTTCAAAATGTGGAGCCTTGATGGCTTACACAAAAAATTTAAAAGAATTTGAACCACAAATCAAATGTAAATATGCAGTGAACTGTATGTAAGGCTCAAGTACTTTGAATGTACAGGCGATTGTTTTATACCTCAAAGCAATTTTTCAATGTGTGTCAATTAAACAGCTTCCAAAATGCTGAAGTAGCATCGAGTCTGCTACCTTAATGTGAAGAGGAGAGCTCAGGAGAAGGTTATCTTCAACCCAGAATATAACTCTATAATATGTATGTAGGCTTTGAATAACATGATTTAGCATTGAAATGGTTTACTGCATAGACTCTGGAAAGAAATTAGTGAAACAAGTCAAATTACATATTTTAATTTCTGTTTTATTCCTCCTTCGCCCAGCTTTAGAGGCATTTATCTCATGAGTGAATTGTTTACTAGTCTGGATTAACGTTCATAAGGGGAGAATATCTGAGTGATAACAGTTGATCTGATGTAAGCAGAATTGTAATTCAATTGAAATTTAACTACTTTTAGAGTCTGACAGAAAAGCTTCTGAAGAAAGAACTGGATTACACTGAATTAGAAGAAAGGCACAGTGAAGTATCCATGAGTAAAAAGAATATACAGGCAAGCCTACATCAAAAGGACCTGGACTGCCAGCAGCTTCAAGCAAGGTTGTCTGCATCTGAAGCTTCATTGCAGCGGTTACAGACAGAACTGGGTGAGAAGGGAGAAGCAAGCCAGAAACTTAAGGAAGAACTGTCAGAAATAGAGACTAAGTACCAGCATCTCAAAGCAGAGTTTAAACAGCTGCAGCAACAGAGGGAAGAAAAAGAACAACATAGTCTACAACTCCAAAGTGAGCTCAGTCAAGTGAGTTCCCTTTTGATTTTGTTTTATCCTACCAGGGCTGTCCAAAATCCAGGCAGCTGGGGCCCACATGCCACATGGGTTGTAGTCCTGGGGGCTGTGTAAGGTGCAGGCTGCAGAGTGAGGGTCACTTACCATGTAGGCAGCACTCCCTGAACTCTCCTACCAGGCAGGGCAACTTTAGTGTGTGCCCCACCCACCTCCATTCTGCGCACAGAGTGTAGGCAGGTCCCCCCACCCCTCCACCATCTCTGCCTCAGCCATGCATGTCATGGGAACAAGCCTGGCTCTCCCCCTTTTTCCCCCTCCCCCTGCAGTGGCCATACCAGAAGCCCATGGGCCTCATGCTAATCCTGTGGGGGCCACCAGTTGGGCACCTGCTTGTCCTACACTTTTCCGTATGTATTTGTATAGTTGTAATCATGCTGGTTCTATATTTCTGTAATGAAGAAATAATGTGTAGAATGTTACTCAGATCTGAGTAAAGCCATATGCTCAGCTAGGGTACATTGGTGTAGAGCTATTAGGCATTTATACATGCGCTCCAGGAGTGGGGTGGGGCAGGCACTCTAATTAAAGCCCTCTGAGTCATCTGTATCAGTGTCCCTGTGCTGAAAAATGACGGTGAGGGTGCTTAAAGTGAAGCTTGTTGAATGAGTTTCAATTTAAATGCCCCCACTGCCATTTTTCAATGCGGGGATGCAGATGCATGTGATGCTGGAGTGCAGTTATTACCACGCTCTAGCAGTCTTGATTAATGAAGTCTGCTCTGATGCGCTGTAATTAGTGTGTCGGAGCAGCCTTGCTGTACATGTATAAATGCCCATAGGCTAGGGACAGACATTCAAAAAGCCTGAGCCTGAATTGATTCAATCTTTGCAGGTTAGTCTAACCTGCCTAGATTGAACTGATTTATAGGTGGATAGATGTTCCCTTTTCATTCCAGAAATTCAGGCACATGCCTGTGGTGGCTTAGGCTAGAAGCCAGGGGGGCGCTAGATCAGCCCTCCTTTCCCTTCCACACTGCTGAGCTGGGGGGTGTGGCCAGGCCCTGGCAGGAAGTTCTGATTAGGGAGGGGTTTAAACCCCCACCTAGCCTGCACTGTCTCAGGCTGTCCCCTACTGGCTACTCGAGGGGCGGGAGTGTTGAGGCAAAGGTGGGGTATGCCGTGCATGCATCTGTTTATGGTACTGAACTTTTCAGTCTCCCTCTCCCTTGCAACTCTGCAAACCTGACAGGGCTGCAAACCAGCAGGGAGGGCTGATAAAACAACAGTGTTTTGTTTATTAGCCTATCAGCAAAACAAAAGCCTTTCTCATTAGTTCAAGCTCTTCTTAAACAGCTTTTACCAATGAGGGACATTACCGGCTGACCTGTTGATTAGCTCCAAAAAGCCCTAAGTGGACACTGTCCTGTCTGCCTTTGTCTTGTTCCAGTGAAATTGGAGTCACACACACGGATACCCCTCATCATTAGCTAGCATACCACATGCCTAGCGTCTGTGGTTGGAGTCCATACTGTGGGAGGGAGGGAGGGGGGGATCCCTGCTTGTGCAGTGAGGGAAGCCAGGCAGACCCTGCTATGCCAGCAGTCTCTCTCTGAGCTCTGGCTAGAGAGGACAGGGGCAGGACCAGCCTGTTCTTTGGAGCAGAGAGAACAGCCTAGCCCAGTCCAGCTCAGGGCTGCAAAGAATCTGGGATGTTGGGGGACTCTAGTTTAACTTAAACCAGGAAGGAGTCTGGGACAGACATTGCATAAATCGGTTTGACCCAAATCAGTTAAGTCTGATACTACTATATTCAACCAGGTTTATCTTAAACCAGTTTCAGCCATTTTGAAACTGGTTTATGTGCACTGAACTTCTGTTCTGTTACAGGTTTAAACCAGTTTCTGATAACTTAAACCAATTTATGTGTAATGTCTGTCCCTAGCCATAGAGACTTATTGGGGTGAATTCCTACTGATAGCTTTATATTTTTTAAAATATTACTGCTGTCTGCTTAGCATAATCTTTAGAATAATTTAGTATTTCTTCTTGTATGAAAGAGTGCTCATCCAGCTAATTAATTTAATCTGTAAAAGCTGCTGCAAATGGGTCTTTTGTAGTTTCCCATTTTTTGGAGTATATTTGCATTCTTATTGACTTAAAGTAGCTGTATTCTTTTGTATCTTGCCTAAGGATTCCCGTGTTCATCTTACCCCCACCCATGAATAAATAACAAGGGATCTTGAGGCCTGTCTGCCAGTTTCCTCTTCCCTAGCATAGCACAAGGTAACCCCGTGTTGCACTCCTTGGTGTTTTCCTCCCTCATCATTTTGTCCCATTGTCTTCCTTGATCAAATAATATACTGGCAAATGAAAATCAGTTCTGGTTCATTGGGTTTTCTTGACAGATGCAAGTGAACAACTATCAGTCAGCTGTCTAAAGTTTTTGAAAGCAGTAAATAAAAAGCAACAAGCAAGATTACTTCTGACTGCTCAGTGGAGGAGAGGAAGTTGTAATAAGATGTAGCTACAAAAAAAGTTCTGATTTGAATATTGAGACGTTACTTAATGGTAAAGTTTATTAGACTCTACCGAAGGGTAGGTTTGATTTAAATCACAATTCAAATCACTGGGCAGAGGAAGCCTGGATTGAATCATTGTTTTCTTCAAAAAGTGCATTCTTATCATTTGCTATAACCTTAATACATATTATTCACAACTCAGAGATAGAAGTGGTTTTCGTTTTTAGAACGTACACACTATACATTTTAAAGCAGTGATTTATTTTAATATTTTTTTCAGTTTAATTTTGCAGCTACATCAGAAAACTGAATTATGATTTGGTTATTTTATTTACCAAAGCTAATTGAAGCAGATACTTGTGAAGTCATTGGAAGGTGAACTATCTCCAATTCACTAGACAAATCATGGCTATTTGGGGGATATTTTTGCCATGCTGTATTAGGAGGGCAACAACAACTGTCTCCATAAACAACGGACATTTAAATTGCTTTATTTAACTGAAACAACAAGCTTATGTATTTTGGATATTTTTCTTCAGCAACAAACATATAATAATTTTAATAAAACAAGTGTATGTATTTCTGAATTTTTAACTGTTTTAGTTATAAATGTGAAATGTGTTTTTAACAAAAATTAAATAGATTATTTCAGCCGGGTCAGCCTGAGAAACTTAAAATACTGAGTTCTAGATTTTTGTAAGGCCATAATCAGAAATGTATCCCTCAAGACATAATATTCTGCTCAAAATGTTTCTCTTCCGTTTCTACTGCCCCTCCCTCCTTGCATTTATATCCAGACTCTTCCTCCTTGCCCAGATTGACTCCACCACCAGCAATCCTCTACTCATTTCACTTGAAATTTTGCACTTTTAGAGAGAGCTGTAAGGGCTTGACTCTATACACAAACTTGCAGAGACACAATAGGACTTATGAGTAGGTAATCAGGTCTGTTGTCTCTCATCTCCATATACTGCTGTTCACAAGGATGTTGTCTCTGGAGACACAAATCCACAGATTGAGACCTGAAACTCAGTATCACGAAGATGCTTACTGGGATCTTCTATACTAAGCACTGAGTCCCATTGGGTATAGTGGTTTTCTTTCATTTTTACTAATCTATAGAGGAGCCACTGGAACCCCATAAGATTGGACTCCTAATATAGTCCATGGCCTATAAAACTTTTCTAAAAAGGTTACATGAATATATTGTCTCAAATAGTATATAATTAGAAGTTATAATCCCTATTCCATGATGATATCTTTGAGCTTTAACATATCTTAAATTAAAACTATCTTTATATAGGTTTATTTTTTTAAAAGCATCTTAAAAATATGATTAAAACAAAAAATATGATTTAAATAAAAAATCCAATTTTTTAAATTAAAAAAATTGTTGATTTTGTCCACCCTGGACTATAGAGTTGGACATGACCTCAAGAGGGCATCTAGTCCACTCCCTGCCTTAGGTGGGATCATATCAGGTAAAAATATTTTTAACTTGTCTTTAAAAGCTTCTCACAGATACCCTGCAACCTGTCTAGTCTCTTTAGTGCTTAACAGCCTCCATAGTTCTTTCTAATTTCTAATCTAAATCTCAGCTCTTGACATTTAAGTGCTTTACCACTGTCCTGTTGATTATCATCCTCTTTGTAAACAACCTTTTTTGTATTGAAAGACTGTTATAAAATCTGCTTTCAGTCTTGTCTCCTCTTTAGTCTAATTAATTCCAATCCTTCCAGCATTTTTCTTGTATGTCATGTTTTCTGTATCTTTAATAATTTTTTGTTGATTTTTCTGGTTCAGGGGTAAGCAACATTTTGGCTGGAGTGCCAAAAACACCCCAACCTCAACCCACACCTTGACTTGGTATGCCAGGGGCAAATAGCAAGGGAGCAGTGAGTGGCCTAATCCTTGTTGCTGGGCACATGCATGCATGCCTCTGGGCACATTGTGGGCAGGGGCCAGGGCTGCACTGCCCTGGCCCCTTCCCTGCCATGCACCCAGAGGCATGCATGCAGCTGGCCATGGCTATCGAGCCCAGGTTGCTTGCAGCAGGTAGCAGCCAGGCTGCAGACAGCTGCACCAGTGTCCGGAGCCCCGGCTACCCCAACACCTCCACTACCATCTGCCTAGAGTTGTGTGTGCAGCCACCATCATCATGGAGCCTCCTGGCTGCCTGCCATAGCTGTCCTGGGTTCTAGGCAGCTGCGGCAGGTAGGCTGCAAACAGTTGCACTGGTGTCTAGAGCCCTGGCACTGGCTTCATGGTAGTGGGCCTGGGCCTGACATGACGGGGGGAGGGGAGGAGTGGACCCATGCCTGACCCGGCAGGCAGGGAGGGGAGGGAGGGAGTGGGCCTGGGCCAGATGTGGTGGCCAGGTGGAAAGGAGAGGGGAGGGGAGGAGGGGGCCCGGGGCCAACCCGGTCATTTCTGATGGGCAATTTGCTAGTTTTCTCAATAAATCCCAGCGTGCTTATTGTGTTATTTAGAATAATATGACATTGTTGACTCATTCAGCTTGTGATGCAGTATAATCCAGAGATCACTTAAATGTTAGTACTTTGCACTTGTCCATATCCAGTTTCATCAATGTTTATTTCAGATAATTTTTTCAAAGTGCCCTTGATAAATTGAACCCTAATCCTATTCTCTAAAGTAGCTGCTGTCTCACCCATCCTAGTGTCATTGGCAAACTGTAGTACAGATTTTCCTCGCTTCATGCGGGTTATGTATGTGTGAATTCATACTTATGCAATGACCCTTTTATACCAAAAATTCGTTATATGCAAGGTAATGCGATCAGTGTGGTCGAAGCCTGCAGTCAGCTGCTTTGTGCAGTGCATTATGGGAATGACGCACCAAAATATAGCACCCAGTGCTGCTGCCACCAACCGCCCAGTGCAGCCCTGGTTTTTCCCGGTGTGTGGTTGGAGGCAGGGCGTTGAGCCGGGGCTGTGCCAGGTGGCGGCAGCGGCAGCGAAATTTGGGGTGGATGCAGCATCCTCCCAGTACCTCCAGCACCTGCTCCGAACCCAGCCCCTGCTGAGAAGAGCCCCACACAACCCTGGCCTGAGCCTGCCCTGCGCAGATCCAGCGGGGCACACGGCTCCCCCCACCCTCCCGGGCTGGAAGCAGCAGTGGGAGCTGCCCCCCCCTCTTCCCCCTGCACCTACCCCTCCTGGGCAGTGCCTGTCCCTTACACCTCCCTCACCATGGGGGGTATTGATCTGCCCCCACACTCCCCTTCCCTCCCCCCGCCCCCAATAGACTGACTAACTGGAGGCAGCTCTTCACGCTGCTGGCTGTGCTCCTCGGTGCCTGAGTGCTGCACTGCACCTGCGCGCAGCACCAGCATTTATCAGCCAAATTATCAGCCCCATCTGGCCAATATCTGATACAGCAAATTTTCTTTATATTGGTACCGATCTGATATTGGACCTATGTATCTGTGCACCTCTATAAATCATACATCCTTAAACGATAGCATAAAAAGGGAATTGAATTTAACCCAGAAAACCTGCCTGAAGGGGAATTGCTGAGGCTCTCTTATTTAGATGTAATGGAAGAAGGACTTTGGGGTGAATTGAGAGAGTATTATTCAGTATACAATGACAAGGCATTCCTAGTTTTTCCTGTATAAATATATATATATTTTTTCTGTTCTTTTTGTACATTAGGAAATATTTCTGAATTTTCATATAGTTTGCTTAGCATGTAGTTTGGAGTGCTAGAAGTAGGTTTATCATTGTTTTTCTGTTTTCCTCTTACTCTGATTTGATTATTACTCTGAAATTGGGAATTGTCATTGCAGAAGTTCAGTTTTCTAGAGGCCTGTACACTAGTTACAAAATACAGGAATGTTATACATGAACTTAATTGTGTTGTGAACATCAGAATTATATGTTGCTCTCTCTAGTGAGATATAGAAATGATGTAGTGAGGTCAGCCTCAACTAAAATCATGGTTTTGGCAAGAAGATGGAAGATGGAAAAGATGGAAAAAAGATAATGTTAGTTTCTACAGATAACAATTAAATTTTAAAATCAGTGTATATTAAGTGTAAGTTTTTACCTTATTGGGAAGTTAATATGTTGAAAGCTTCTACAAAATGAATATCCTATATAGTTCCAAAGACAGCAGCATGTCTTTTGAATGCAGGGATTATCAGGGTCTTTCAAAATTCAGGTGTCAACATAAAAAAAGACAATTGATGGGGAGAGGGAAGGCAGAGAGGTTAAAGAAGAATATAGCCCTTTGTGTACTTAGTGGACATTTGCTGACAAATATTCTTCATCATGAAGTTTAACTTACTTATGTCACACCTTTTAACTCCCAAACATTTTCCTTATAACTAATATTGGTTATATTTTGTATGTTTCTGTTTATGCCAGTGTCTTGAACTGTGTAGTCCCATTAGCTTGAAGTTTGTTGCATGAACAAAAAACCCTATACATTTCTTCTCATCACAGAGGTTGATTGCTTTTAAAAGTTTTCTTTTCTGCCACATGTTCTGGCTCTTGGTTCTACGAACTCATTGGTTGCTGTGATGGTAAAGTAGAACTTCCTGTCACATGGATTTTGTTTAGCAGCCTCCTTGAGGAGGAATATTTTGGTCAGACTTCACCTGTTTATCTGAAACTATTTACAAAAGGCATAGTTAATATTATCATTTGCTATAGATTGCTGGAGTTCAGTAGGTCAGGCAACCATGGCTTGTTATAATCTAGACTACGTACTACAAAAGCCAATAATCTGTTTATAACATTTATTGATGTTTTGATCCGTTTTATAAATGCTGTGCAAGTATACTGGTAATATGTGACACTTTTGTGAAATGTTACTATATTATTATTGATTATGTTTTTCCAGAAGCTTTTTATACTGTTGATATTTTCTCACGTCAGTAGTTTGCTTTTGCTGTAAACTTTCATGCATTTACTCAACTCCTGCATAGTTTTTACAAATGAACATATTTACCTGAATCCAAGACAACTCCAACTTTAAGATGACCCTTCAATAATTAGATTCTGTCCCTGGCAATAATTAGATTCAGCCCCCGCAACAGGTAGTTAGGTGGCCCCCTTGCACTCTTTTCCTCCCCCCCCCCCCCCCTCCCTCCCCTTCCACTTCCAGCAGACCAGTCCCCACTTTCCCACCTCCACCCCCTTACTGCTAGATGCGACTCAAACTCCATTCCTTGCCTGGTCATGCAGCAGCATCCCAGGGCCGGAGTAGCGCAGTGGCTGATTGGCCAAGCAGGGAATGGAGTTTCCATGTGCGCTGTGTCCATGAGGGCATGGAGCCAGAACCAAGCCTTGACAGTAAGGGGTAGGAGGGAAGGCAGGTGGGTTCTGTGCATCTGACCGGCCCCAACCCAGGCTCAGGGCTGGAATCTCAGCCATAGCAGCCACCCTCCAACTTTGTACTCAAATCCAAGATGAGTGGCCTCTTCTCCATTCTGCACAGGGGGAAACCTAGTCTTGGATTTAAGTAGATATTCTAATATTAGAAATTGATATAAAACCCTCCAAAAATGTACAAGCGAACACTGCTTATATTACTGTGATGCAATTACTGTTTCACCCACATCCAGAATGATTTTTAAGTCTTAGATGGTTTATAGTGTTGGGGGTAACTTAACTGCAGATCTTCATAGGGGTCTGATCCACTCAGTGTTTTGCTTTCAGAGATTTACAGAGAGTATTTCATTAGTTCTGATGCCTCTTCTGACCCTACAGTAGACCTCTACTAGTAGGGGTTTTGTTGTGTAGGGATGGTTAGGAAGTAACTGAACACCTACAAAATGAAAACTACAAATTTGGGGAGTGGGGTGGGAGGACAACGCACGGCATGGGCCTTCTTTAAAACTGATTTTTGTGTGGGAGGGCTTGTTTTCTTAGCAAAAAAACTAAATAAACCCAACAGCTCATTTAGAGAGTGGTGCATTCTTACTTGTGTACACTCCTGGGGAGCCTCCTAACCTCAGCCCGGTTGGAGAGTGGGCTACAGTTCCTTGGGGAGGTTCTGGAATGTTAGTTATGGACACAGACCGGTTTAGAAGATTCTGCACATCACGTTGAGAGAGTTCATACATCCGTCTCCCCTTCAGCTGAGGAATACCAGTGCACTCAGGGTGAGCTGAAACCTCGGCTTGGGCTGGCTGAAACACTGTTGCTGAAGCCAGTGGAGCATTTTAGGACTTGGGTCATGGCCACTGGAGAAGAGAGAAATAGGGATGTTCTTTCCTGGTGCACCCATCACTACTTGGCTGTTTTCTATGCATGGAGGAGAAGATGATGCTTTAGTCCTAGTTTTGTTCTCTTAAACTAACAAAGCTTACCTGGAGGGACTTCATGAAAGCAGTAGTGATCCTTTTGGATCACCTTTCTTCCCACTTGAAGGCCCTTCCTTTCTGTGCCTTTTCCTGCATGTGCAGTTGAACAATATAGTCTACATCAGGTAGAATCTCTGTTACATACTTGACGAATGTTTTTGATGTTTTATTAGTACTGTTCTTATGTAATAAAAAGAGGAAAATTACTATTTTATGTGTAGTTAAGTCTTAAATTCAGTATAATGGTTGAAGAAGTTAAGACAGTACTTTCTTCTCCCCTGCAGTTGCACAATAAACTTCTGGAAACAGAGCGCCAGCTAGGCGAAGCACATGGTAGGCTTAAAGAACAGAGGCAGTTGTCTAGTGAAAAACTGATGGATAAAGAACAGCAGGTGGCTGATCTGCAGTTAAAACTATCCCGTGCTGAAGAACAGGTAGGGGTTATGCACAGGATGTAATTTCATATGTAGTCTGACATTGGGCTGTGTATTACATGTGCTACCTGCTTTTAGTAGTGTTGGCGTTTTTAGCTTATGTCTATCTGAGAGCTTCATTAAATAACTTTGTTAAAATGTAATTGTATTTTATAAAATAAAATTCCCATGTAAAAATTTGCCTGCCTTTTAGGCAGAATTGTCTGACTGACACTTTGAGTTTTAGAAAGCTAAAATTATTTATTTTTACCCATTTAGTATGTCAGGTCCTTTGTCCCCCTGGTCTGAGGGATCTGATCGTGCCAAAAGATCAACATGCATTGACAGAGCCCTTTACTCTGTGTTAGAGGAGAGTTGTGTTTGTGGTGATATTTTTGGGAGTTCAAGTCCCAGTAGAAGAAATAGCAGGTGTGGCATAACAAGATATGAGTGGCATGTGTAGAGGTAGAAAGCAGTTATTTTAATAATCAATTATGCATCCATTTTTTCAGTAAGAACCTATATCTCTCTATCTGTCTATCTATAGATATATGCACATACACTACTATACACAGACCTGCCCATAAAAGTTGAAATTTTTCAGTTTTATGCTAGTTCAGTAGCAAGTTGTTGACTTGCATAGGAATCATATGACTAATATTAGTTAGTACTTAGCTTTGGAAAGTGTGTTAAAATAAACAGATGACATTACTACTAAATCTGCTAGTGATGTAAATTCGCATGTTTGCTGCAAATTTCACTCAGCATAGTTGGAAAACAAGATGTAAAATAATATATCTATTATCTGGCATGACTTTCATTCTATGAAATATTCCTATTGCCAGTAGTGACAAAAACTTCAATTTTGTCACTAGAAAAAATGGCATGGCAAATTCATACTTTAAATCTGTTGGGAAATAAGTGTTTAATGTGCAGTCTTTTACTATTATGGGAAATACGGAATTGTGCCTGTCAGTCTTCACTCCAGAGCTTGACATTTTTATTCTTTTAAGCTAAAGGAAAAAGCAGCAAATTTCACCGAATTGCAGCATCAGTTAGATAAAGCCAAGCAACAACATCAGGAGCAACAGACTCTTCAGCAAAATACTACAGCAAAACTGCGAGAAGCCCAGGTAAATAAACACTATACCTCTCCTAGAACCAGTACACTGTTGTACTTAATATTGCTGGTCTATTATGATACATGATTTTCTAATGCATGACTGTCTCATGCATTTCCTTTTCTAAAACAGAGTATGCAATAGCTATTATAGCATTTGATAGCTAACATGTATTAGGCATAACTTTGAAGGTCTCTGTAAACTAAGGAAGCTAATATGTGTTTTGCTAGAATGATTTGGAGCAAGTGTTACGTCAGATTGGAGATAAGGACCAAAAAATTCAAAACCTTGAGGCCTTGCTGCAAAAGAGTAAAGAGAACATCTCCTTGCTAGAAAAGGAAAGAGAGGACCTGTATGCAAAAATTCAAGCTGGTGAAGGAGAAACTGCAGTTCTTAACCAGCTGCAAGAAAAAAATCATATGTTGCAAGAACAGGTAAGAAATGCAAGTAATTCCAATACACAAAAATCCCCACTATCTTGCGATGTCTTATATAACAGCAGTGTCCTTTGTTCCCATCTCTGTCTGCAACTTCACCCCTCACTACTTCGCTGTTTCTTACAGTATTGCATTTTGAATACCTCATAAATTTGACAGGTTTTGTGTATTATTTGGTGGGTGTTCTCTCCCCCTGTTCTAATGGAAGTAAGCATTGAGGCTTTCCTGTAATAGGGATTCAGCTTATGTATGGACCAAGATATGAGTCCATATCAATTTGTGATAGTGTTAAAGGGAAACATCCTGTATTTTTTCAGATGTGAGAGAGAGTGAATCCCATGCCATAAGTGTGAGACTCCTTTCAGTGAAACTCAAGTCGCAGTAGATGTCACCTCTATGTTGTATCATTTTAGTATAAATTAGCATCATCCACTTTCCACTGGCTTCTCAGTTTAGTAATTGCTAGCGGGCTATCAGTAAAAAGGTGAATACATGCTAGTATGGTATGAGAATGATGGTGTCTGCTAGCTTTGAACTTCTTGCCAATATAGCAGGAAATTTTGTCAAGTGGTCATGCAGTCCGGAAAGAGAACCTTCCAAGAGTTAATGTGAAGTTTGGATCATAAAATGATGATAACATTTTTGAAGGTTAGGGTTTCTTTTATTTCTTCTAATTAACATCTTGTTTCCCTTGTAGGTCACTCAGCTAACAGAAAAGCTGAAGAATCAGTCAGAAAGTCATAAGCAAGCCCAAGAGAATTTGCATGAGCAGGTGCAGGAGCAGAAAGCACATCTAAGAGCTGCTCAAGACCGCGTGCTCTCCCTGGAAACAAACATTGCTGAACTAAATAGCCAGCTCAATGAAAGCAAAGAGAAAGTATCCCAACTTGATATACAGGTAACTGAGTTTTGCGCTATATACTAATGAACAATTTCATTCACAGTTGGTTATGGAAGGTAGAGATCTGAGTACATAAAGCTATTAGGCTAAGTTTATACCAAAGATTGCTTTGTCTGAGCAGCAGACGGCTAAGCAGAGTACCATAAGCAAGATAGTCTGGCAGACATCCAAGATGCAAAAGTCAGGAAAAAAATTAAACAACAAAACCAGGACCTGTCTCATTAAAACTCTAAGTTGCTAAATGTTTCAAGGTTAATAAGCCCATTCTGCCAAATGTCTTTTGATTGTTTTGGACTCCTCACAGCAGGGTGAGAGCTAGTCAAAGTGTGGTCCTGCTATGCTCAAGTTTAGACTACTGATTTTTTTTACTTGGTTTTGTACCTCACTGTGTACAGCATTTTTTTGGTCTAATACAGTGAAACTAAGCAAGTAATGTCTTGCAAGGGAATGTTATCACATTTAAGGCTTGCTGAACTATAAGGTAGCAATGCATTCAGTCTGTAAGGAGGTGTGCGTTCAGGCATGAGGAGATATGCATATTTGACTAGAAGCTTTGTGTAACTACTCTAGGCTTGCCTTGATAAACATTCATTTCTGGAATCTGTGGAGTAACTAATATTGGTACATGGGGTTTGATTTGTAGCAATACCTTTTGCTCGGTATAACTGTTAATTTTGTGAGAGGAAATCTTGGTTAATTAAACTTACAGTTAATTACTCCTCCATCTTTCTGCTAGTTCTCTTAGGGCTATTTTTGAAAGAAGTCAGTCTCCAAAAGTGCAAGGGGCTGTACTCTGTATTATAGAATCATAGCAGTAGGGTCGGAAGGGACCTTGTAGATCTTCAAGTCCAACCCCCTGCCTGGGCAGGAGGGAAACTGGGCTCAAGTGACCCCAGTCAGGTAGGCATCGAGCCTCTTCTTAAAGACCCCCAGGGTAGGAGCCTGCACCACTTCCCTTGGAAGTTGGTTCCAGATCCTAGCCGCCCTGACTGTGAAGTAGTTCTTACGGATGTCTAATCTAAACCTACTCTCCAACAACTTGTGGCCGTTATTCCTTGTTATCCTGGGGGGCGCTAGGGGAAACAAGGTCTCCCCCAAACCATTCTGGTACCCCCTAGCGAGTTTATAGATGGTCACCAGGTTCCCCCTCAGCCTCTCTTGTGAAGGCTGAACAGGTTCAGGTCCCGTAGCCTCTCAGAAACCATCTAAACCCATAATGAGCTTCTGTTAAGTCCATGTGGCTTCTGCTACTGCCTTTATGAAGCATGGCAGAATGGGACTGTTAACGAGGGAGAGAAAGTGCCTACCACTAGTTAAAGAGATTTATATGCTTTATATAGATTCTGTTATTTCAGGCAGTAGGAACAGAAGAAGGGGCCAGTGGTACCTTAGGGTGCAGACTGCCTCATATAGTACACGCATGAGAGAATACTGCTTTTCTGTAAGATAAATACAGTAAAATCCCTGTTATCCAGCACGAGTGGAGAATGGGGGGTGCTGGGTATCTAAAAATGAGAGGGGGGGAGTGGTGGTGGCCACCTGTGGAGCAGGGGGTGGGGGGATGGTGGCGTCTGCACGCCAAGCAGCTACAGTGCAGGGTGGTGAGTGGCAGCAGCAGCCACGTGCAAGCTTTGCCCACTCCCTCTGCTTGCGTCTGGCCAGCTGGCTAGAAATTCTGATTAATAGAGTGTTCTGGTTACTCAAATGCTGGATAATACGGATTTTACTGTACTTGTAGTACTTCCTGGGTTCTAAAACCATGCACATCCTCAAGTTTGGATATGGCTGGGGTGACTTGGGCCTAATTCAACTTAGCTTGTTAAGCGAAGTCTTTCTTGACTATAGGGGAGTTGAACTGGGCTCAAACGCTGAAAAGAAATTGGTAACTAATTTTATGTTATTGTGTTGTGTTCTTTGTTCAGCTGTCTAAACTACCTTGATAGGACATATCTTATATGACTTGTATCTAACACCTGTTTGTGTGAGTTACCAAAATTTACCAATAAATGGGTATGTTATTAGTGGTGGATAAACTTTTCCATTGCAGCTGCCATTTTCTGTTATCCGTAAACTAAAAACAGCATTGGTGCATATTCTTTCAGATAAAAGCAAAGACTGAACTGCTGCTTTCAGCAGAAGCTTCAAAAACTGCTCAGAGAGCAGATCTTCAGAATCACTTGGACACTGCCCAGCATGCACTACAAGACAAACAACAGGTGGGAGACAATAATGCTACTAGATAACCTACATAGAAAATCAGAGAGATTTAGGTTGGGGAGGGGAAGAAATCAAACTTGTATGTTTTTGCACTTGTTATCAAGATTGCTAACTATGTAGTGTATGTTTTGTCTTATTGGCTATAATAAAGTTGGAAGGGTGAGGTGTTTTGTTATGAAAAACACTGCTCACTATAGAATTAAGAACGTAAGTGCCATATTAGGTCAGATCAGTGGTCTATCTAGCCCAGTATCCAGGCTCTGACAGTGGCACAAGTGGATGCTGTAGAGGGAGAGAATCTAACTGGATCTCTCTAGACTGATGTATCCCATATTCTATACCCTCTCTGGCATCCACCATTTTCAGTTTAGAGATCAAAACATCTCCAACCATTCTGTTTAATAGCCGTTAACAGATTTATTATCCATGAATCTGCCCAGTCCCTTTTTGAACCTGGCTATACTTTCTGCCTCCACCACCTCCTGTGGCAATGAATTCCACAAGTTAGCTGTGCATTGCATAAAAAATACTTTCCCTTGTTAGTTTAAAAGCTGTCACCTACTAATGTAAGTGAATGCTGCTTAGTTCTAGTATTCTGGGACTTGGTGAACAACAGTTCCCTGTTCACTTGGTCCCCGTTCTTTGTGAGTTTATAGACCTCTATCCTACTCCGCCATGGCATTCTTTTGAAACTAAAGAGTCCTAGCCTTTTTAGTCTCTCCTGGTATGAAGACTTCTCCATGCCCAGATCTGTTTTTTTTTTTTCCAGACAGATTTTATGCTTTGAATCTAGGCTTTCATTCTTATAGGAAGTGTTTCTAACTGGCATGATGGCTAAGGTCCCTGGCACATATTCATTTAAAGGCACAGTGGGATCAAATTCCTTGATTCTAACAATTGTACCTCTTGTCATTTCAGAGATCAGTCATGCTTGTTGTACTTGCTGGTACATGGGGAGCCTGGGGTCATAATTGTGATCCTGGACTTTCCCTGCACTGGTAGACTGAAATCTGGGTACTCTTTTTGAGACCTGGTATAGTCCTTGGCTGGAACTGACAGTCAGCTGATTGTCAGCCCTGGCCTCGATCTGCTACACTTTTAGTTTATGGTGCTGTACAAACTAGCTATAAAAAATGTTCTACAATGTAGAATATATAGTGTAGAACATTTGTATAGCTAGCTTGCTATTTTATGGTGCCTTAAATTGGGTGCCCATGTAACACCCTTGCCATTAATGCTGTGACTATCATGTTCGTTGCAGCATAAATGTAATATGTAGAGGGGGCCTAAAGGATTTACAAAGTGCACTTAGTAAAGCAAGGCAGCGTTTGAGTTGGCAGACTCAAATAAATAAAATAGAGCTGTGCTCTATTAAGGTAAAGCACTTATTCCAAAATAAACATCCACTCAGACTTGCACCAAAATAATAAAAGTGAATTTTAAAATCACACACCTAGTTATTTCAGTAAGATTTTTTGGGGCGTACCAGCCCTAAATAATGGCCTCTTATTTGGGTGTTCATGTTAAAACCAGAATGCAATAAATTAAATAATCAGAAGCAAAAAGTTACCATACTGACATCTTAGCAGAAACGCGCTCAATTCCAAACCACTTCCAATTACCACTGTTATATTTTTTGTCTTATGAGGTGTAGTTACAGACCTTCTGTAGTAATTTTCCTTAACTATAATAAATATAAAAGACAAATCTCAGTCTCTTACTTTAAATGAAGCTGCTGCAAAATTATTTAGGCTGCTACACCAGTGTCATAGAAATTGGTCCAGCTTTCTGTGGGGTGTCTGGTGCTTTGAAGATAACTGGTGCTGTAAAAGACTAGCAGCAGTATATATTCTCTTTCTGTTAGAAAATAACTTTGTGTTATACCAGTAGTTTTAAATATAATCCAGGAGCCATTAATGGTCTTGAGAGCTGACTGTGGGTCCATGCTGTTGGTTCTCCTTGTTTGCAACTGTTAAATTTTAAGCTTTAGATATTTTTGCTCATTGGAAATCAACGTTGGGAACTGCTGTAGTTTCATTTGGTTTGAACATTTTAGACAAATAACAACATTTAAAGCATTTATTTTGAGATCTCTTTAATAATTTAAAAACTGTTAGTCATAATAAAATTAATTTGATTATATTTTATTTCACAGGAGTTAAATAAGGTCAGCACTCAGCTGGATCAGGTTACAGCTAAGCTGAATGATAAGCAGGAGTATTGTACACAGCTGGAAGCTAATCTTAAAGACTACAAAGAGAAACACTTTCATTTAGAACAGAAAACTGAAGAACTAGAGGGACAGCTTAAGGTTTGTATTAAATGCATAACTTCAGCTTTTTAAAGCTGTCTTTCTCTGTGTAGAGTTACACAATATAGAATAACTGAATCAGAGATGCATAACCTTATGTCAGGTTCAATTCTTCCTGATTTCAGACCAACACAACTAACTACCTCTCTTTGCTTCATGTATAGGAACAACATTGAGCAGAGCTGTGCTCAAGTTACAGGGGAGAGGATGACACACTATTGCACTTAAATAGCTTTATTTTTCACCATCATTCCCTTTTTTTCAGTAGATAACAATGAAAAGGCAGAAATTTGCTATTACCTCTTCTACACCCGTATTTCTTTAACTCTTAATCCTAACACTGAGCATGACACAAGGAAGTTGTTAAAAGTTGTAACTTACAAAGAGCCTCTACCTTTATGGGCAGTATTTCCTGTTTGTGTGCATCAGGAAGAGGACCTATATTAGTGCTATCTACCTGATTTTTAATTATCCTATTTAAATACTACTTTCTCTGCTGACTTCTTATGGTTATCACATTTGAATTCAAGGGGACTTTTGAATTTGATTTTCTTTTACCTGACATGCATATTTGATATATTAGTGTACATAAAGTTGACAACAAGACTGCCTGCCTTTCTGTGCACCTGCTTAAGGCATAATTGTCCAGACCCCCAGATGCTAAAGGCCTTACTTGGCTACCATTAAAGCCAATAGTTTTTCTATCAGCCTTAATTGAGAAATAAAGTTCTAGGTCACATACAGACATTCAGTTGGGAGAGTTATTAATCTCCCAGTAGAAAGTATGAGTGTACAGATGTCCCTGGCAGACAGTGTGTCACTTGCTGGACCCTACTGCTCCAGCTTAGCAGGGAGCAGAGCATTTCCCCCTTCACAATTCTCACATTGTGCAGCAGGGAGAGGCAGCCTGACCCTGAGAAATCTGGGTTAGGTGGACTGCTCTGTACACTGCCATCTCTCTCTAGGCTGACTGAGGATCCAGCAGAGCATGCTGAAATGGGTGCACAGGGCCCCCCTGGCTGTGTAACATCAGCATTACAAGCTCTCTGCCCTTCAGGGGCTCAGCATTTGAATGTCTCTTCACACAATAAACTCCAGCGCCCCTCACACAGGAGTAAACTGCTCTCAGGTGCAGTGTCTACATGTATGCCCAGGACAGCAGCAATTTGAGCTGGGACAGATCAGGCCTGGACTTGTGGGTGGCAGTGTTTGGCAGCAGAGGGGTTAGCTGGGCACCAGGGTGCAGACTCTGCAGAGCTGTGTGGATAGGCAGCAAGCGGGAGTCTGGCCCCTGCCTGATCACCATTTTACATGCGTGTTTCAGCGCAGTAAATGACTCTGCTGTAGGATAGTTCTGTCCCCAACAGCACTGTCCTATGGCAGAGTTCATCAGTTTACTGTGCCCTGTTACCAGCGCACATGTAGACTGTGATGCTTTACTGTGGGGCTAATTAGTTAACTCAGTAAAGTGCATGTATAGTTGCAACCTCTGAGTAAGCTTTTCTACCAGGAAATCAAACCCAGTAGAATTCTTTCAGATCATTTGAACGTGTATGGAACCCTAAATGCAATATGATCAAGTCACGCATAGGAGTTTTTACAGTCTATCCCTGTGGTGTGCATATCTTTGGTGTAATGTTTATAAAACATCATAAGAAATATGCATAATCACAGGGAGAGGGTGTGTTATTCCTCTTATAAATTACTGTGTGAGAGTGGAAGTCTTTTGAGTCTCTGTTAGAACTCTCCCTTGCAAAGCACCTCCCTCAGCACCCACCCTTCCCAAGACACTAAACTTCTCAGTTATACTTCTGCACTGGCCAAATCCTGGCCTCCCACAAGAAGTGATCTATGTTTATTAATGCCCCTACAGAGTAGGTAGGATCTTGCTGTTAAAATCTTGGCCAAATTTTGACAATATAATTGGACTTAAGTACAACCCTGGGTGCATGCCAATAAGCTTTCTTTTGCAGACAACAGTAAGGTGGGTATATTATTTCTGTTTTAAGAGGTAGTTAATGTGTGCATGATATTTATTACTGCACTGTTTTCTTATCTAGTACTGAGAGCCTAGACGAGATCTGGTTGTTTCACTTGATGTTTCTGGTCTGCCATATACATTTGATATTGCTTTTTGGATCAGTATACATACATAATGCATACAACTGAGCAGCAGCGGAGAATTTTATTTTCAGGGTGGTGTTCTTTGGTACACAAGGAAGATGGCAACTCCATGTAGCTTGAAAGAAGGTGGAAAGAAGGGGCTCTAACTTTTCATAGGGATGAGGGGAGAAAATCTCTGTATTATTTTACAGCATTATATTTGAAAAGAGATCTCATCTCATATATAAGCATAATTATTTTGTGTCCCCACTTGTTCTGTAACTTTTCCTCCCTGTCTTGGTAGAGTGTCTCAAGTAGCTGCAGAAAATTTACCACAAGGAGAATTTCCTGATTTGTTAACACAGTTTTTCTGCTTGTTCATTTTTCTTCAGTTTCAAGATGCTGTTGCTAATATCACCAGAAGACAGTCTGTGTAGCAACATTGTTGCATTGTGCCAACTAGTAATAATTCTCTGGGGTTTTTCCACTTTGGTGTATGATAGTTTGAGGGTTTGGGTCTGCAAATGCATTGAATTACTAAAGTTCTATGCTTATTTTAAGCCCCTACATTGAGACAAAGCTGCCCACAAATGAAACTTCAGTTTCTAGGAAGCGTAGACTTGTGAACTCTTTTGCTGCACATGTGCGATTGTATGTCTTTTCCAATTTGGCGTAAGTGAATAAGTAAATAAAATAGATTTATTTGTTTAACTTAGATTTACTTGCAGCTGCAGCACATCTTGCTTATTGTTACGTTAATATGATGGTCAGATTCTCAGCTAGTGTAAATGGCCAAATCCCCCTTGAAATCAGGGGAACTCCACTAATTTATACCAGCTGAGGAATTGACCCGAAGGGCACATTTTTATATAGATAATAACAATTCACTTTAGGATATTTTAAAAAAACATTTGCAAGTTTAAATGAGCAATTTCTTCATTCCATTCTGTCCATCACTAATAGAATACTGCATGAAAAAGTATTCAAAATCTGTTTAAACCTACATCATGGAGTTGTCCAGGATCCTTGATATTTTTTTGTGGAGTTTTAGATTACCATGAAATATAGGGTGTGGCGGGTGTGCCCTGGGGATTGTGTTTATGGTAATAGTAGCTTTTTTAAACTTTTCTTTTCAAGAAACTTGAAGCCGACAGCCTTGAAGCCAAAGCAAGCAAAGAACAGGCTCTCCAGGAGTTGCAACAGCAGCGGCAGCAGTGTACAGAGTTAGGCCTTAGGACAGCAGAATTGAGCAATCAACTCAAAGCAGAAAAAGAAGTGTATGTTAACCCTGTTTAATATCCTGCTTTTCAGATTGGGAGACCTGGATTCAAAGTTGAATTGGACTAGATTTATGTCTGTATGCCCAAACTGAAATTTCTAGTCTGTACACTTTCCTGAGTTCCAAACTCACCCTAAACTTGAAAGTAACTACACATCTTATTTGCCTTACAGAGGAGAACTGGGTTGCTCTCAGTTTCCCTTCTTGTGCTTCAGCCACTGCTTAAATGCTAGGTCCCATCTGCCTGCATGTGTCAGATGAGTTCTAAGTAATATCAATGCATTTCCTCTGCCCTTGTCTCTCCCTTCTTTCCACAACCTGCTTGTTGCATCATCAGTAGGAAGGTGGTTGTCAGCAGACAGTTATACGTATCTTTATATCACTCAGTTATGGACCCTTCCCAATGTGGGATTCATATCTCTATTATGCATGGTAATGAGAAACTTATCAGCATGACCACCTGAACCTAATATCGGCTGGGAAAAAGATGGTTATATTATTCTAGAGGAAAAAAATTGTATTTGTGAAATTGTAAGCAGGCTTAAGTCTAAGGTGCAAGTGGGGATAGGGGCTTTCAACACATTTGGTGGTTACATACAAGCATTAAAATTGGTTTGAATGTTTTAAGTGCAAGTGCAGTTTTTCCAGCAGTCAGAAGAAGCCTTTTTTTAAAACATAAGTCCCATCTTAATTTTGTGGGGAGAAGTGCATGTGACTCCCAAAGAGCCAAAGGGTAGGTTGCCACTTGATCTAGAGGTTTCAACCTGTTCAGAGAGCTGCTCACTGAAGATACCTTAGTTATGTAACATTTCAAATATCAATTTGCAGTGAGCATTTAAGCTCTGAGGGTAGTTTATGAATGTTTAAGGAAGAAGACAATCTGAACATGGGCTTTTGGAGTACAAAATATATTTAATTGAAAAAACAAACATCTACATACCAACTGAAAAAGAAGGATTTAGATCACTTCTACAATTAACATTCTTAATTGTAAAATGTAGATTTAATTACATGAACTTTGGCAGAGTTTTAAAAAGTTTGTTTTATGGTTCTACTTTGTATTTACAGGGTGTCTAATACTAAATTGGATCTGCAGAAGAAATCTGATGCCCTTGAACAAGCAAAACAGCATATTTCAAAGCAAGAGGAAGAAAAAGCAAGCCTTAAAAGGGACCTTGAGAAATTAAATCAAGAGACAACCAAACAACTAAAGGAACTAGATGGCAATATGCAAGTAATGACGTTAGAGCTGCAGCAAACCAAGTCAGAGAAAGATACTTTGTTAAAAGACCTCACCGTTACCAAAGATAAACTATCAAAAACTAATGAATCCTTGAAATATACAAAAGATGACTTGGAAAAGGAAAAACAGAAAGGAAAAGCAGCTTTGGCAGAAACGGTTAGTCATGGTTTTCACCTAACATCCAGTATTGGCCATTTTTTCAGTTAGCTTTTATGTTGTTCAGCTGTGCTTTGCACTCTAATAGGAAAATTATTTTTAAGTTTGCAGAGGTGATGAGACTGTGCAAATTGCCACAAGGAAAACAAAACTGAACTTTTAGTTGTGTTTAGTAATTCCAGACCTGAATTTGAGCTGGATGTTTTTTTACTAGTAAAGATTAGTTCATACCAGAAACCAGTGCCTATGCGTGTTAATATGGGAAAAGAAATCAGACACCAGTGATGAACGTTGGCAACAATTGTATGTGAAGTGTACAAGGAGCGTGGCCAGACCTATAAAAACAAATCATGAGGCTTGATACTGTTTTTATCAACTTGTTAGTGTTTTATTTTTAGACTTTCATGCCAGCCTGCTAAAAGGTTGCTTTCACTTTCAGGAACATAGCTGTGTGTACACATCACTTTGGGAAATAGCAAAACTGATGGTGGTGGTGCAAGTGCTGTGTGCAGGTCAAATGAATTTGTGACCTAAGTAGTAGCAGTGTGGTAGTGAAATGTTCAGCCAGGAATAATCCAATATTGCAATAAAATAACTTTTTATGGTTGTTACTCAATTAAAAAATCTACAGTCTTTTCTCAACCCCACTTCTTCTCCCCCTCCCCCAACTTTATCTGGCACTAACATCACTGAAGATAGCTTTAATACTACTTTTGTAAACTTTCTGTTTTTAGATTTCATTGTTGTTATATTTTCCCAGTTTCTTTTCCTGTTTTGTATTGGACCACTTCCTCAACCCCCATATATGGCTATTTTTATTTTTGCGTTAGAATAGTCTTTACTTACAGTTCAAAAATAACACTTTCCTCTATCTCTTACACCTTCTTTAAAAAGACCTTTGTTTCTTGTTTGTGATTGAATAGTTTTATTTAGCTGCTTAACTATGTACAGTTGACTTAAAACTGCAAGGATTAACTTCCCTGTATGAACTGTTTTAAAAAGAACACAAAAACTTTGCTTCCAGTTCTAAAGTCAGCCACATCTTGCCATTGTCTTCAAGACCAAATCCTATTCAATAAAAAAAATGGCTACTTTAAAACTGGACTGACAGAATTCTGAGAAGAGAGCACTCTCCAGACCACATTACCATTATACTCATGCCAATACAAAGGAGCTGGAAAATGGTTATATCCTTGTCTAAAAATTGCCTGTTGACAAAAATATTAAACAGATCTTGTTACTAGTATAAATGCCTGATTCTGTCACTACTTTGAGCATAAGTCTTCTGTATGAGAAATAATGATTTGTTCTTAATATATTTTTCAGTGCCCCAGGAAAAAATCATCCTTTTCATTCCTTCATTTTAAAGCTATAACCCTTGTGGCTCAATTACATGGCCATCCACCCAACCCTTAATTCAGTTAATTGTTCCCATTCTGGAAAGCACTCCTGTACTTGCTTAGCTGTAGTGACCTGGGAAGACTGACTAGAGCGGTGTATCTAGTATAGTTACAGTTCATAATGCATTTCCAGAACAGAAATATTTTGGCAGCAGAATCTGTAGTAGTATATGATGACCGCTTTGTAATGCTCACTATATATATTTTTTTTTTAAAAGGAAAAATCATGCCAAGATTTAAAACATCAACTCCAAGTGCAAACAGAAACTGTTGCTAAAGAACGGAATGAGTTGAAAAATTCACTTGAAAAACAGGAAGGGGTAAGAGTCCTAACTTCATCTATCAAATAAAAAGACTGCTTTTTAAATTATATATTGAAGGGATTAGCACGTGGAAAAAATTAGTTATTCTCTCAAAGACCCTAAGACAAAGTGATACTTGTAGAAGATTGCATGGATTTTAATAAGATCATCTCCTTTCTTCCATGCCCAGGATACAGTTACAACACTTGGTCATTGTCCATCTGCTTTCTAATATGTCTTGAATGTTGAGGGGTGTGTGTGTGTGTGTGTGTGTGTGTGAGAGAATTATTAGGTATTTGAATTAACATCTCTTCGAGATATGAACTGTCATCTTTCTATGTGTTTTGGGCTTAGACATCTGCTTACCACTTTTTAGTATGCTGTCTGCAGTTTTGGAGGAAACATTTCAAATCTCTTGGAAGAGTTTTAGCGTTTTTGAAAACCTTCTTCCAAACAGTTATCTTTGTAAATATAAGGCATAGTCTGAGTTTTTAACAAACAAACACTTAACTCTATCATGTTACCCTAGAATTTAAAAAAGAAGGGACCTGCTAATAAGTTCTTTATGGCATTGGCCCTATTCTGCTCCTGTTTTATAAGGAAAATCCAAAAGTTTAGAAGTTATGAACTGTAAATCTGAAATGTAGTTCAACACAACACCCACTAATAATGATTATGGTAAAAATCATATGTGACTTTTTTTTTTTTTAAATACAGATTTCTAAGCAGTTGACAGTAGAGCTTGATTCAGTACGAGGGCAAATAGTGGAATTTCAGAGTTTTCTGAAAGAGAAAGAAAAGAGCGAACAGAATCTCCAGGGGAAACTGAGAGAGCTAAAGGAATCGTTTGATCAGAAGAAAAGACAAAGTGAAACGTTGCAGGCTGAATTAAAAGCTGCCCTTTTGGAAAAGGTAGTTCTAGATTCCTTTCATTCCTCTTACTTATAAAGCAAATTAGTATGAACTCTGATGCATGATGCTGTTTCTAAGTCATTATCTAGGTGATAAAATAGCTCTTTGTCAAGAATGGTTATATGTTTCAGCTACTGCAAGGCCAGGATATGGAGTTAAACCCATTGGATATTGTTCACGGTTGAAATGATAAAAAGCATTTGAATATGAGGCCCCAATACTGAATTATGGGATTCTATGAAATTGCTATATGCCACTGAATTGGTAAAACTAGCTAGACCTGCTGCATTCACTTTACCGCATCCAGAGGCAGCATTGCAAAAGGTGCTATCTTGTGCAGTAGTAGGCAGTGCCATGAAAGTAGTTCAGACACAAATGTTTTAGCATTTCAGTATCTGGTAGTTTTAAACTAATTTTGTGCAGTAAGAAAAATGTCTTGATGTCAGTTGAAAATTGTTCATTAAGGTAAGAAATTCAGACAGTATAGCCATAGGCAGATTGGCGCTTGTGGATTTTGCTGTTACAAGGCTGAGTTGGAACATTTTGTATCAGTGAATCTGTATTGCAGTGGCTTCCTACTGTTCTGCCAGTGGGAATTAAAGGACTTAAAATATTATTTAGATGTTTAAAAACTGGCTGGTCTTTTTGAATAAGTAATGTCAAGAGTGTAATTAAAAGAAAGGCAATTTAAATCTCTGTGTTAATGTAAGATATTACACTTGATTTAAGCCTACAAGAGGCTGAATATAACATAACTCAGTAGTCTGCCCTTGCTCAATTTTGTATCTGATGTGAGTGGTGGCAGTTAAAGTTTGTAGCATGAATAAAAATAAAATAATTTTTGTGTTTTTAATTGATAATTCCAATATTTTGTATGATGTGTGTGTTTCAGGCAGAACTAGAGAACAAACTGCAGCAACAGACAACATTGTCAGCACAGGAACTTAAAGCAGAGAAAGGAAGATTAGCAGAATTGCAGATGGTCCATGAAAAACATCAAGAAAATATGGAAAAGCTTCAGTTGGATCTTTATGGTAAAGAGTCTGAACTGTTGGCAACAAGGCAAGACCTTAAGGTACAGTAAGTCATTTTAAGGTCATAAGCGACTTAATAGATCCATTTACTTCAGGATAAATACAAAGGAGCCAAATTAAAGATACATAAAGGAAAACACTCTTACTGTGTTTATAATTTTTCGTTCTTTCCTTCAGGACAAAGCACATACTGGAATTAACTTAAATGCCAAGTGCATTGTCCTGACATAGAATGCCCTTCTGGTTCACAGTATTTCGTAGCAGTAATATTTGTGTTGCCAGAACAAACAAAAAGTTTTTAAAAATAAAACTTTTTCAAGAGCGTGCCCTCCAAACTGATCTGTGGAATGCTCTTCCTTAGTCTTATCCTTAAATATACCATAGTTCCTGGCACAAATACTGAGGGCAGCCATCTTGCTGACATTCTAGGAATAACCCAAATCCTGTTTCTTCCAGAAAATATACCTTTTTAAAATTCTTCTCTATTGACACTTCAGGAGGGATGTGGACAGCATTGAGAGGGTCCAGAGGAGGGCCACCTGCGTGATCCAGGGACAGCAGGGCAGACCCTGTGAAGAGAGGCTACGGGACCTTAACCTGTTCAACCTTCGCAAGAGAAGGCTGAGGGGAGACCTGGTGGCCCTCTGTAAACTCACCAGGGGGGACCAGCAGGGTTTGGGAGAGACCCTTTTCCCCCTAGCGCCTCCCGGGGTAACAAGGAATAACGGCCACAAATTGTTAGAGTGTAGGTTTAGACTGGACATCTGAAGGCACTACTTCACAGTCAGGGCGGCTAGGATCTGGAACCAACTTCCAAGGGAAGTGGTGATGGCTCCTACCCTGGGGGTCTTTAAGAGGAGGCTTGATGTCTACCTGGCTGGGGTCATTTGAGCCCAGTTTTCTCTCCTGCCCAGGGCAGGGGGTTGGACTTGATAATCTACAAGGTCCCTTCTGACCCTACTTCTATGAATCTATGACACAAGCGTTGATAATGCTTCTTAGTTTACATTTCTACAGCAGACACATTCATTCTGCATTGCTCTACTGGGGTCTCAGTTGTTTTGGCTATATTGTATACAGTATCTGCTCAACATGTAATTTTTAAAGAGTTTTCTGTGGAGAATCTGAAGCTGGGATGCCAAATATAAGCAATTTGGTCTTGTTAGTGTTTGGCTGGGAAATCTTCAAGAAAGCTCAAATACTGCTGGAACGTTAGCAGGTAACAGGCAATCTTTCCCCCGAGCCAGTGTTAGACCCTTGTCTCATTTGCTGTTTAATATTGCTTTGTTTGAGAGGTCATCTTTTAGGAAGAGGGGTAAAACTTGGCTCTGATCATTCGCAGTCATTAAAAGTCTCTTGGTTCTTTCAGAAAGGTGGGTGTACTGATTTTGAGTGCCCTAGCCAAACTCCAGCTTGGGAGTTAGTCTTCCTCTCTACAATATTACCCACTGCTTTTGGTTAAAAAGTTTGCATTAATCTTCTATTAGTGTAGATTGCATGCTATATTCTGTTGAAGTGGCAGCTCAAATTCAGCAATGGTTGAGTGAGTCCCTGGATGCAGTCTGGAGTGTTTTGGGATGGTTATAAAATGACAATAGTTCAAAAATTCTATTTCATAGAGACTAAAATATACCAACCGAGTTTGAACTTACTTCCCTTGACTCATTTAGACCATTAGTTTGTAATGGATGTGACCTGTGAAAGTATTGGGCTGACTCTGCGTGGTATTATGCTTTCTTTGTGAACAGATACACTTCTTAACTATTAGCTGTTGCAAATATACCTCAGATGAGCATTATTTAAAGTAGACCACAGGGGCAGCTATCAGAATTGGAAATAATTGTGCTGTACGTGTTTAAAATAGGGCTGCCACTGCTCTCCATGTTTCAACTTCTGCATAGAAAAGGTGAGATGAGTGATGCAATAGGAACAAATGTAGAATGATGTTCCTATGGAGTTTTTACAGCGGTGCCTAGAAATCCCAAACAAAGTTAGAGTACCCTTTGCTGAAGTACTTTTTAAATATTTGCAATTTTTTTTTCTTTGCAAGCTTTTGGGGACACACGCTCTTCATCAGGCAAAGGTGAAATTAAAGATGGTAAGAGTTCTCCTGGTTAGAAAAGAAGCTTCATCAGGCCAAGGAAGAATTAGGGATGGTAAGAGTTCTCCCAGGTAGAAAAGCCAGTTTGTAAAAAGCTGCTCTGTGAGAATGCAAATGAGGAGGAGACAATGGCTGGCACAGGCAAGATACCTGGGGTTTTCAGATAGCAGGCAGGAAGTGGGGTGCCATAAATCTGGTGTTAATATTTAGTCTTTGGAGAGTATATATTGCTTAGAGGCTTGGAGAGTATATGTTGTGGTTGAATTTGGCTTCTTTCTTCTTCATGATGTGAAGTTTCCATTTCAAACAGCAAAATCCAATATCTTCCAACATCTGTGGAAAAAAAAAAAGAGAGCGGCCCATAAAAAATTAAGAATTGTGAGCTTGATTTGAGGCTGGATGCTAGTGTTGATGGGCAGATGGAGCAGAGAAGTACCACCTTGTGTCTGAGTGGGAACTCCATGCAGCAAGCTGCTAGTCAGGGCTTTGTGGCCCATTGGGCCTCTGTAGTCCCTCCCACCTCCAGCCACATGCTACCATTGTGCCCTGTTGACCATCACCTGCCTGGAACGGCTGCTTGCCTCACAGGTAGGCCGGGCTGCGTGGCCCTGGGCAGTCTGAAGCAGGAAGCAGAATTCCTAATGCACACACAAGCTATTGCAGATCAATATTGGTGGTAACTTCTGGCATGTTAAGGTAGGATTGGGCAAAATAGTGGATCCAGCTGGTGACTGGGCTCCCATTTCCCAGCAGCCCCTCTGGCAGGTCTCCCACAGGAGCAGAGGGGCTGTGGCAGCTCAGGGTCAGGGTCTTCACAGAGACTGGCCCAAGCGGCATGCAGATGAGTGGGGAGCTTCTCTGGGGCTGGGGCCAGGGCCAGGATCTTGCAACAGTGACAGCGTAGGCTGGAGCCAGGGCAGAGCTGCAATCCACTGCCTGCACAACTCTGGGTAGCGGATCATGGCTCTGCCTTGGCTCTGGCCTGTGCTGACACCACCGCAAGATACTGGCCTCGGAGCAGCTTCCCGTGCAGCGGTGCACCCTGCCAGCTCAGTTCGGGCTGGTCTCCGTGGAGACCCTGCCTTGTGCTATCTTGAAGCCCCTTAATCTTGGGCATACTATTCATCATTGTTCAGAGTATATACTTAAAACAATTTTGTAGAAAATGTTTTGTAGTCGGTAGGGTCAGAAAGGAGCTGAGCAGATCATCAAGTCCGACCCCCTACCATGGCAGGAAAGAGGGCTGAGGGTA